AGAGCCCAAAAGAATTTCGGGCGGAGAAGGGGTCTGCTCATCCATTGCCTATTGAATGCAAGAGGGATGCTGAAGAATTTGGATCAGGCTTGCTCTGATACTATGAAGAACTTGAGAATAAGAAAAACTTCTATTTCTTCTCACTCTACTTTAATTCATCGATAATCAGCAATATTTTATAGGCAAAGGAAAGAAGAAAAAGACAAAAACTAACAAACTTCCCTAGTGGAAGTAAAAAAAAACAGCACAACCTGGCAGTATCCATTTTGTTATATTGCCAGGTTGTAAAAGACAGAAAATGGAAAAATACAGAAAAATAATTTTACATTTTATTTTTAAAAAAATGAGATTCTAAATTTGTATCTTGAAATTGGAGTTGATCTGCAGCAGTAGGGATTCTGTCCTGCGGCTATGAGTAATTCCTCTAAGTGGACATGGGTGCTATCATCTTGAAAGCATCAATTCGTAAGTTATCCATATGCTTATCCAGTTATCCCTTGAAACTTTCATAAGCTTACCTATCTCACATTTTTTTTTGTCTAAAATTAGTTATTAAGTTTGAGGTTCCAGCTTGCATGGTCATTAAACAATAGTCATTTGTAAAAAGAGATTCTAAATTTTATTTTAAAAAAAGATATTCTAAATTTGTATCTTGAAATTGGAGTTGATCTGCAGCAGTTGGGATTCCGTCCTGCAGCTGTGAGTAATTCCTCCAAGTGGACATGAATGCTATCATCTTGAAAGCATCAATTCGTAATTTATCCTTATGCTTATCTCCTATCAATAATTCATTGATGAGTTAGCATTTGAGGATGACATTTTATAGATTCTAACTTCTAAAATTCTCTCAAGGTTCACATTTTTTCGGAAATCCTTTTTTACCTTGCTATAAAAAAAATTCTCTCAAATGTGGCTGGAAAAGAAGAGAGGAGAGAGGATAAGAAGGTTTACTATTACTGTAGCAATGTATAGATTGGGTTATGACTGCATTAACATGGCTATTAACTCCTGCAGTGACTTCTTCTTTTTGGTAGTTTCTGCTTTTTTTATGAACTTTCTTTGGATGGTTGCCCTTTTATCGGAAAGTTCATGTTTGTATGAGTTGATTATTTTGGAATATAATCTCTTGAATTGTTTATCAGAGGATGAGAATGAGCTATCGGAGGACTTGCTTCCATCTTAAGGATCTGACTCTTCAGATATGGTGCCTGACCTCGTATTCAGAAGCTGTATTCAGTCTAATTTCATCTGGAGAGCAACCATTTCTGGTTAGCCAATTCATATACACAAATGAATATGTATATTATATATTTCTTTCAAAATATAGTCACATCTTTTCTCTCTCTGCATTATTCTTTAATAAATCTGTAGGGTATTGTCCTACTTTTCTAAAGGGATCTTTTCTATCTTACTAGGTGATCCTTTTTATTTTTCCCATATGATTATTTACTAAGTGATTTATCAATGGCTTTAGCATGCTTGGAAGGTATTATATTTTTCTATTAAAGTGACAATCTTGACACCAATTAAAATCAAACTGTTGGTTGTCACATCAAAAACACCCTTCTATGATGCTCATTGTTGAGGTTAATTTACTTTGCAACTTATTATATTTCACTCTAGTGGCTTAATGTTATGAAAAATGATATGAAGATAGGACTGGGAGATTGTGTTAATCTCTTGTTAATGTTAATTTTTCCAGAGATCATGTAAGAAGGCAACTCAGGATCACATATCCTGTTGTACTTGTGAGTGAAACTGTTAAAAATATGCTACCAGAATTGGCAGTTGTCTTTCATCATAAGTAGTTCGAGGTTTTGTGTACTCTCTCACAAAATGGAGGTGCCTCTAGAAAATATATTTCAATCCTTTGATTGAAAGGTTCTTTTCTTTTGTGCACCTAGTTTATTGAGAAAATAACATTAAGCATGTTGAGCTTTGGGTCCAACATATACTCGTACCTGTATGTTTGTAAGTTATCTTCCTTTCTTTCCTATCGCTTGCATAATCTGTTAAAAGTTTAAAACTTAGTCTTTTGGTTAAGAAGATCAAAATATCAGCACTCCCACCTCTCCGCAACCATTTATTTTTACAAATAACCTACATGAAGTTTGGTTGGGTTGGATGTTGGGTTGAGTCAGGTATTATGTATTGGTCCTGGGATCGGGATCTCGTTGCAGGTTTACTGAGGTTGAAATAAGTAGGATTAAGGTTTAGTGCTTATTCGAAAGAATCTTTGATCTTTAGAGTTGGGTACTCTGGAATCTTTTTGGATGAATTCTTCATTGATGTTTTTATTGCTGAACTAGCCTACGTATATAAGGGAGATACAACTTCTATGTCCATAATTTTAAGGATCTCAGCTGATCCTGTTACAAGCTAATTAACGTAAATAACTCCCTGTTTCCCCTTATTCCAAACTCGTAGCATAATTAACCCATTATCATGATTTTAAGCTTTCTTAATTAGCCTATTTATTTAAATATTCTATTCTTTTGCTGATTTAGGAATGGACGGGATGATAAGATAAGCATTGTTACGACAAGAAAACGAGATAAATCCTCGTTTTTTGTCGACTGGGCAACTTCTAGAAGGGTATCCCTCTATTCCATTCCTTCGTAGGCTTAGGAATGGCCGGGATGAGAAAAGTTAACTCAAATAAAGGCATCACGTTTTCCCATTGCTTCACAAGTTTAGGAATGGACGTGATGGTCAAAGACGCCGTGAGACGAAATAAAACGAGACTACCACCTCCCCGTGAATGTAGGTAACCTTTTACGCAAGTCCTTCCAAAAAGGGTAAGTTTTTGAGCCTGCTTACCCCAAGCAATAAAGCCATCATGAAGTGGGGGAACATTGTGTAAAAACCTTAACCAAAAATAAAAAATCCTAGCAAAAGATATCTAACTCTAACAAAAAAATACCATTTTGTTGCTTGAAATGAAGTGAAGAAGTCTGCTTATAGTGGGGGGCTGGGGATTAGATCACTGGTTGAGATGAATCAGGCCTTACAGGGGAAATGACTATGGAGATTCATGATTGAGGAAGGGGCGCTCTGGAGAAGGATCATTGCTACAAAATTTGGGGTTTATGACAGTGGCTGGTTTGCAGGTGGGGTGTTGAGATCCCAATGGAGAAGACTATGGAAGAAGATTGGGGATGGGAAAGAAAGATTTCAAACCTGTATCACATGGAAGGTTGGGAATGGAACAGAATCGAATTTTGGTTGGATCCCTGGATTGATGGCGGTCCACTTAGTAGGTAATATCCTCAGATTTTCTCTGTTGCCCAGAATAAAGAAGTAAGCATTGGTGACTGCTTTAGGAATCTTGAGAATGTTAGCCACAGGACATCAAACTGTACATTGCCCTAAAATCTTTTTCTTTAAAATTTTTTGTACACGTCCCTCCCTCTTCTATTTGGAGTTTTTCCCATGTGATGTGTGCATGAATGGACTTTTTGCTTATGGGTTGCAGATCTGTAAGAAATGAACTTATTAGAACCTGCAATTGGTTAAATTTCAGGACTCATTTATGGTAACTGCAATTTCAGTTAGCAGCTTGGATTTCTCTCTCAGTTCTATGGAACTTTGAAACTGTGCTACAACTGCTGCTCCCTGGTTTGGACACAGATGACACTTGCCAAATGGAGAAAGAAGTTCAGGGTTTCTTTCCTTCGGCTTATGCTTTTTTTTAAACTGGGTTTGAAGTTATTTTACCTTAGGTGATTAAATTTGACTTATTTTCCTTCGCAACTGGTTTTAGATGCAGAAGGCCCTCTTGCTAATGCTTCACCAATACATGTTCAGTTGATGCGTGTTCTGTTAAAACCAGGTTTGTTTTACCATCAGTTAGCGTTATAAAATTTGATATATTTTTCTTCACGTGTGTTCCTATTGCTTGTTGGTTCTCACCTACAACTTTTCTTTTCTCATTAAATTTTTTCCCTCAAGTTAGAATATATTTCATTTTGTTTTTTTTTTTTCCAGATACAGCTTCAATTCTATGTTTACATTTTTCTTGATTTTTTACTGGGGTTCAAGTATTTTTTATTTGATTCTACTCATTGGTTGTGCTTTTACTGTTTTAAAATTTGAGGAAATTTCATTTGACTCTGAAGTTTACTATGTTATACAGAAGCCATCCCACCTTAAAACTGGACAAAAAACATCATATTTTTAAAAGTGTTGAGCATTTTGCTCTTTGCTATCTACTCTATTGAAGATTTTATTAATTCTTTTCATAGTTTTATCATATATATTATTAATATCCACAATACATCCACCTATCACTTAAAATACCAAAAACTAGACAATGGATTGTTAACAAGTAAAATAATTTTTTTTTATTTGTTTTTTGCTAGCTGCATCAACTTTCTTTTGTATTTTTTTGCCATCGCCAAGGACAAAGATATGTTGGTTATGTGTGAATCAGATGAAGGCAGATCCTGGAACATCAAAGTCTCCCGATACCCACAAGATTGAGAGGTTGAGGATTATGTGAATCTGTTGCAAACCCTTGCTTCCATTCCTCTAAGCAACAGAGAGGATAAACTGCTCTGGAACCTCTCGAAAAGCAGCTCATTCAGTGTAAGCACTCTACAATTTCTTGAGCAACTCCTCTCTCCATTTTTGGTCTTTTTTGCTTGCGAAGCCATGGAGTGTATCCTCACTCTCGATAACCTTAAGAGAAGGGGCATCCAATTAGCCAATAGATACTTCCTGTGCAAAATCAACTGTGAAACATGTAACCATCTCTTGCTCTGGTTCCCGTTCACTGCCAATCTTTGGTCTATGGTTTTTGGGCTGCTCGGTATCTCTTGGGCCTTGGCTGACTCTGTTTGTAATGAAATTCTCACTTGGAAAATGCTAGTCAGCAGGAGAAGACAGCTCAGTTTAGTCCTTCTCACCATCTTCTGGATTATTTGGAAAGAAATGGATTGTAGAGCTTTTGAGGGGAAAAAATCTGATTCTCTATCAAGGGTGGTTCTATGTATTGAGTTCCATAATTGTGGGCACTCCCTTGATAGTTTTGATGATTTTGGCTCCATTGTAAATATTTTTATTGATATGTAAATCTTTGGTATATAGGCGGCGCTCTTTTGGCGATTTCTTATTAATACAACTCATATTTTTATTTAAAAAAAAAATTATATTTTATGTTATTGATTATGTTATTTTTACATTTTAAGTATATTTTTCACCAATTTTCTATTATAAAATAAATAATGGGGCTAAGAGTATGATAATTTGTAAAAGATGGTGTTTTTTTGTCAGTTTCAAAAAGTGGGCGGTTTCTGTATGATAGAACTAATCTCAGGAGGGTAAAATGGTAATTTCTCTTAAAATTTTAGACCTTAATTTATGAGCTTGTCATTAATTTCTTTTTGTTTATAGTGGGGAATTATTTGAAAAAAGTGGATGCTTTTGAAGAACTGGAAGATATATGGTGATTTGGCGTGGGGCCAACATGGTTATGAAATGGTTGCAGGCACAGGGCGTCCACAAAAGAAACAATATGGGCTTAATTTTGGAGAATTTGAAGAGAAGATTATTGGTGCAATTATCTTTTTGTTTGAATCATAGAATTGAAGTAGTTATCAGGTATGTAAAGAAGGAGAATCTAACAAAGAGAGTTCCATTGGAAGTCAACTTAGATTGTTGGAAGCTTTGGCATTTCCTGAAGATTTCAAGCCAGTTGTTCAGTGAACTGTGGCTCCTGAGGTTATGTTTGCATTCAAGCAAAATGGCACCATATGTCATGATCAACATTTCTAACTAGTTACTGAGACTTTGGAATTGGCTGAGCCTTTCGGAATGCATATTTTAATGTTTTTATCAGATAGTCATCCCCATACCTCATGCGCTTGGTAAGTCTTATGAATGAAGCCATGAGTCCTTTCAGCTTTCTTTCATGTGGCAATTTGGCTCGTTGGTTTCTACAGGTAGCAGTTAAGCATGTGTCTTTGGTTAGTCATGGGGTTCTTTTCTGGTTTACGGTTTTAGTTTCCTTCTATTTATTTATTTATTTAAATATATAGTACCTTGGCAAACGTTCGGTACGTTTGCATTAGTTAGTAAGAGAATGATAATTTCTTATAATGTTCAATAAAATTTAAGAACTATATATTAGCACAGTCCACGTGTTGAAGTAAATAACATTTACCACCATTGATGCTGCTCCGCGGAAGTTTTACTTTCTCATTGGTTTAGAATGTTTTCTGGAAGGTAACTGCTTTAGAATGTTGTTAATTATGTATTACACAAATATTGCCCATAGTTATTATGTGATTTGTACACTTAATATGTCAATTCATAGAGTTATATCAACAACTGAAATAGTTGTCGTTTTATCCACATTGACGGGATCAAATGGAAAATAACCATAGACTGTAACGGGCACGGAAATTTAAAAGGAAATACATATAATAATTTGAGTGCGGAACCGATATAAAAAGTTAAGGTTAACATCTCTTACACGATAACTTAAAAGTACTAAACAAACATCACAGAATAAATTCTCTGAAAAAAATATGAGAAATGGAAAAAATAAAGGAAACTATAAAGTATCTAGTATCTACTCGCAACCTTTTTGCAGATTGGGCTCGAGAACTAGGTCCTCTTGATCTGAAATGGTTAAATAAGGGGTGAGCTACACTAGTTTAGTAAGGGCATCACACTATATCGTCGGCACAGAAGTAAAAGTTGGTAGAAAATAAAAAACAATTAATGGAGCACTAAATTTAAACTAATAGATTCATTAAAAATAAAACCATTTACCCTTTTACTTACCATTGGGGAATCTGTGAAAACAACCTATAAAGACAATAACATCATACAAATAATAATATCATGCACAATCAGTAACACAGAACATATCATAAATTCATATTCATTAACAATAACTAATCATCACCGTTTCTCGTTTCACCAGCCTACTAGTATCCATAGAGATTCATAGGGGTGTCCCCGCTACACGCGAACATTTCTAACAATCTAATTTAGGGTCGTCTCTATACCCCGTTCGGTATGAGCGCAAGATATTAAACCTCAATACCCCGTCAAATATGAGGGTGAAGCGGGCTATCCCCATACTCCGTCCAGTATGAGTGCCAAATGACCAAGTCTCCATACCCCGTTTGGTATGAGACAACGTTCACGGTAGGGTTTCCTATGAATTCGGTCCGTCCACTATCTCCCAGGATATCTAGTGAGGCTGTCACTTTATTTGTTTATTAGATCACATCCATTTCCTGTTTTTCCTTAATCTCCGTTACTAAATTAAACACAATCACATAAACAATGAAGATACACTCAGTAATACAACCATATCTTAAATTCCAAAATCACACAGTGGTCAAATAAGACAGTAATACATGCATTTAAAACCCTAAACCAAATACCATCATACCTTTAAACTGTAAAATAAATTAACAGAAATCAACAGAGAACAATGTCCGATTTCGGGCTCCATTAGCAATCCGTAATTAATTATGTATATTTATCTAATTTGTACAAAAGACCGTATTATTATTTATTTAAACTTCACATCTATGATAGGAAATAGGGTGAGGGGTCCTTACTTGATTCGATGCCGCAAACTAAATGGTTACTGCGCCTACAGGCGGTCCATAGGTTCCCTGAATTTTTCTTCGGGAACTGAAACGCGCTTACGGTACCTATAAATGTACCAAATAAACCCAAAAATCAGTTCCAGGGCCTTCTCAACCAATTTTAGAAATCCAGCATGGCAGCTCCACCGTGCTCCGGTGACTGGCGGCGACCCGCCTCGGGTTGCCAATTTTCGACCGTTTTTTGTCGAATTCAACCAAACTTGCATCGGTTCTTGCGAGAAAACACACTTAGGGCCCTCGGTTGGCCGAAAAAAATGTAAAAAACTGAAACTCACCGGCGGTGGGGCTCTACGGTGCGGCAACTCCTCCGGCTCACGTTGCTGTTGGGTGTTTTGCTCAGGTCAACCTGTAGAAAAGGAAATGATGGTCACAATGGTGGACAAATCATATCAAACGGGAGTCGGGAATGGCCTCATCGGAGGCATTTTTTGAAATACCCCGCGACAGTAGCGCCGAGCTTCAGCGGCATTTTCCAACCAATTAGCCGGTTCTTCCACTCTGATTTGGTCATAAGTGAGTTTGAATTGAATTTCGTGCAAGAGGGGAAATTTTTACCTCGTTTGACGGTTAGAAATTGCTTCGGTGTGGCGGCGGGTGGCGACGGTCGGCTCCCTGACGCCTGGACTGTCTTCTCCGGCGAGGGGCTCTGGCGGCTAGGGTTAGGGTTCTGGTGCGGATGGGGTTATTTATACCCATCCACTTTTGATATAGACCGTCCATCGCTTTGATCTGGACCATCCGATCGCGATTAAATAGGGAGTGAATATGAGCCGTTCATCGCGATTCAATCTGGACCGTCCGTGCGCGATTCAATCTGGACCGTCCATGCGCGATGCAATCTGGGCAGTCCGTGCGCGTTTTTAATCTGGGCTGTCCGTGCGCGCTGGAACGGATCTCAACCGTTCGATCGCGCGCACGCGGATCGCCCACGTGGATCGCCCACGTGACTCCCCCCGCATGGCCTCCCGCGTCAGCGCCTCTGCCACCTGGCGCGTCCTGGTTGGTCGGGGTTGCTGACCGGGCATCTGACGTGGCGTAACTTTTATAAATTACGTTTTGACCTCCGTTTTTCGATTTTTCTTTCAAAAATACTATCAGAACCCAAATTTTCACTACTTTTCTCCAAAATTGTTTTCAAATAAATCCTTAACAAATTTTACCCCTTTTTTTATTAAATTAAAACAAAACAAATAAATAAATAAACAAAAATAAAATTAAAAAAAATATTATTGGGTGTTACATAGGCAAGTTTAGGAATAAAAGCCTTCCTGGTATCAATCAGAGAAAAGTTTTTTGAAGGCCATTAAAATTACCAAAACAAATAATTCATGTTGGTATTTTAGAAAGCCTGGAAAACATGCTGACTTTTAGGGTCCCTCAAGAGAAACCAAGGGCCAGGATAAGTTTAAAGAAAAGGAAATTTAAATATACTTACGTGCTTCCACTCAAAAGGATATTATCATGAGGTTGCATATGGAAAAGAATTTTGAATTAGATTTTAGTGATGTGGTGACCTCAAATGTTGCTATAATGATGAGCAATCCAAGAAATTGTTCTCCATAATATTAAATAATCAACCTTTTAATCAATTGTCTATAATTTTATATCATGTTAAATAGATACCTACTTCTAATTGTCTTATTTTAAATGTAAAAGATATAAATAGAATATATATTTAAACTTATAAGAAACAAAATACCAATCATGGATAGGATTCTCTTAAGTTTTGTTACCACTTTAGTGAAGTGTGGCATTCCGTATCCATGTTGTAGTGGGGATCCCTTTTGCTCTCTCTGATAGTAGTTGAAAATAGTATCGTGTGGTGAAATAAAAAATGATTTAAAATTATAAAATCCGTTTTATCATATATCGTGGAGGGGTATGCGCGTGTGTAGATATAATTCTGTTATGCGACCATCTTGGTGAAGTAATGTTGTATAATTATGTATTCTTTATCCTTTATGTGCCTATCCATAGTGGTAGTTGGGATCCTTATGCCCTCTTTGATAGGTGTTAAAAACGATATATACGATGACATATTCAAATGCATGAGATAAATCGTATGTGATTTGTGAGAATTTATAATGCTTCAAAGTATGAAATTCAATGTAAGTGTGTATAAGAATTTGAAAAAAAATGTATGTGATCCGATGTAATTATAAAATAATTTATGTGAGATTTAATGTAAATGTATGAAGTTCAAATGTGTATCCTGTAATGTCTTGTCTCGCATGGACGTATGCACACCACTTTTAACTAATAGAACCAACAAAAATGGTAAATAGATGCAACATTTAAAATAAAAACTTTTCCTATACATGCCTTATATATGTACATTAAGATACAAAAATAGCATGAGGCATATCTATATCAAAATAAAGGCATTAACCTTAGTTTCTTTATAAACTCGAGTAAAGATCCACATAGCGTATTCTTTACTGATCAGGTATCTAATACTAAATATTCTGATATAAAAAGAACCATGG